ACTGGGGTAATCGGGATGGGTGTGTCAGAGGCAATGAGATTGGCACAGGATAGAGCAGGGTTTAGGGCTGTTGTACAAAGGGTCGCTATGAGTCACAAATGACTCGACGGCACATAACAACAACAATAACAACAACATATTCAAATGCACATCTTACAATAAAATTGTATTTAAATATATAAAAAAATAATTTGAAATATAATTTAGTTCAATGTATTATATTAAAAGCCAATGTCTCTAATTATACAGATATTTAGTTCAGGTTGATACTAGCCCCAGAATCACCTAATTGCAGTTAAAAGAATGAACAATTGATTGAATTACCAATTGATCAATTCAATTAAGCCATTAAGATAACTGAAATAAGAGTTACAGCATATATATATATGACAGTTCTTTTAGCCAAACTAGTGTCCAGAGTAGATTTATAATTCAGCAATTTGATCTCCTCCTTGGCACTCAGATATTGATGGAGCTGCATAGAGTGGACTTGACTGGCCAAGGGTCACTGCTATTCACTGAATAGTCCCCATCACACAGGACAAAAAAAATTTTGAAACAACTCATATCTAGTGTTTTGTTATTGATATATTTTTTAAGTTTATTACTAACTTAAATGTTAAAAAATACACAATTCTTCAGAAGTATAAATTCAATTTCGTCCCAAAAAGCCATTAAAGAATTAAATCCTTTACTCATTTACCTGGCTCTGGTTGAAATAAATCTTTCCTTTGGCCTGGGAAATGCAGTATCTGTGAACATCACTTTCAAAAGCCTGTAATTGATTCTAAATTCGATGACCCTCAAGTGCCGGTTCCAAGCTCAGGGAAAGGGTTACCGTCTGGCTTTTGCCTGAGCCTGGATCCACCCACACTCTGATCTGATAAGCCACCTCAGATCTGTTTCTGAGATCTGTCTTTAACGTGTCCCCATCCATCTTCATTTCTGAATCCCTCTGATACAGTTTTAGGACCAGCTTTTGGTCAGTTTTCTGCAGCATTAATGCAGCAACACTCTATCTTATCTTCCTTACTCCCAGTTTGATTCCCTCCCTCCGCTAAGCAGGGTATGTTCAGCAGTTCAGCAAGGCTATTTATCTCTTTTCACTATGCTTGGTTCACACAGATATTTTTGCCTGAGTTCGCACCTTTTCGCTAACTCCCAAGTGTTCTTCAAGACTGGCACGTTGGAATGTCTCTCATGTCCTCTGAGAGCATTCCACGCTTCCCTCTTTCTCAACAAAGTCTATTCCTTTGCTTCCTGTAGAAGAGTACAAGCTATTTTAGGGAGCCCTGAACTTTATAGTTCTAGAAACAAGCACAGGAGAGGAAGATCCCAGATGAGATGGATTGGCATAGTATATGGGGCAGTGGGGGCTGGTGTGTTGGAATTAGTGAGACTGGCAGGTCAGGGAAGCGTTCAGAGTTGATGTACATAGGGTCATTATAGGTCACAGGTGACTCAACAGCACGTAACAACAAAACCATACTATATTGGTTGTCTTTTATTTAAGCCTCTTGTTTAGAGTAAACAAGACATGGGGAGTGCCTTTGTACTTAAAAGTTGGTTGTTATTATATTTTGAAGGTATATTCTTCTAAGAGGTACAGCTCTCTTCTGTCAATATGCTGTATGTACTGAGGTAGCCTGGGGTTGCTGTCATGCTGAAGCTTGTGCCATTGGGGTGTCAAGTGTCGTAACGGTCATCTATGATGGACAGTGTTTGGTGGATCTCCCAGTTTAAGACAAGTTTGGAAGCAGGAGTGGAATCCACTTCCTAAACAACATGCCACTGGAAACTCTATGAACTCTGATAAATGATAGTTGTTGTATGACAAAGTTTTCAGGTCTTTTGCTCATAAGGCCACTATGAGTCATTCTTAATGGCAACAACAATAAAAATGTGTTGACTAGCACCTTTATTTAATCAACAACATGCAAATTGCTTGCTGAATATAGGTTTTTAAAACTATTGTTCGGTTTTTAAAAGAAAAATTGAATGTATCTTTTAGTTCTTCGGTGATATGGCATTCCTCATAAACTAAAGAGGCAACTTGAAAAAGGATTCCACGAAGATTTGACTCAGTATATGAAACTAAAGGATATTTAAGATGTCCTAAACATCTACCCACACATCCACGTAAAAACTGTGATTATACAAGAGTTTACCACATTCAAATCTTCAGTACCTCATCGTATTTCAAAATCAAACCAGAAATAAACTTCACCAGCCTATATGGTATTTGGTGACTATGGAAGAATATGTTTTGGTTTGTTTTTTTAAAATGTTAGCTATTCTGGTACAAGTTCTAATGACAGGAAAATATGATTGTTTCCTGTTTTTACTGGCTTTATCTTTCCAACTTACTTAAATTTTAGGATAGAAAATGACTCTTTATGCGTGTGATTTATTATTTCTTCAAACTGTTGCTCACAGGAAGCAGAAATGGATCTGAAAGGGTTAGGATGACAGGCATAACCAGGGGGCCAAAGGTGACATTTAGGAGAAGTGTGGCTTGAGAAATCTTGTGTATTCATTCACTCTCTCATTTAATCTTACCACTATTGTGGAGTTACATAACCAACTTCAGAAACCACTGCGTAAATTGAGGATAAATGAGAAGATATAATGCCTTTTCAGTATGCGCTTATGTGAGCAACAGAATATAATACAGGCTTGATCAAGTGAGACAAAAGCTTTTCTGTGTGTACTTCTCGCTGCCTAAACACATAATTACTTTTTTGAAGTTTTATATTTTATTTCATTAAAGTGAAATAAAAACTATCAGTAGACTTCAGTTTCTACTCAGTCAGGTAATAAATACCCCCCAGATCTCTAAGGTTCACCAACATAGTTTTGCTTTCAGTCCCATCAATGTGAAGAGGGCCTTTAGAAGAATCTCTATGGGATGTAGAAATATTTTAGGCAATAGACATATGATAAGTTATGGTTTACTGCTTATGTCTCTGTTTCTTTCAAAACTTTCAATATCTGTTGCATTATTTAGTAAAAACAACTGTTTTGCTTAGTAATTCTGTAAGGCACTTCAGGGTGAAATAGCCAAACAGGATTTCTAGGTATGGCTTCCCTTGAGAGCTTCTATGGCCTTGTGGTAAGGAGCCATGCTGCAATCCCAAAAGTAAGTGGTTTGAATCCACCAGCTTCTCTGAGGAAAGATAAGCCTCTGAAAATTACCTTGAGAGTCAGCTATGAATCGGTTCTGATTCAACAGCACACAGTAACTTCAATCAGGTTTCCCACTGACTGAAAATCGCAGATGTATTATTAAGGTATTGGAATATAAATATTTATATATTTTGTTGTATGTGACGTACTCAATTAATGCAGTGTGTCATGAATGAAACTGTCACAGTTTAGTGAATGGAGTGCAATAGAGTTGAAGGTGGTGACTGGCACTTTTGACACAGTGGCCTGGTCCATAGGGAGTTATGTAGTTAAAGGGCACTGTCTTTCTGGTGGTCTGGATATACTAGTGGTTTTGAAGGAGAAAAACTGGCATTCTCCTTCCATGCAATTTACAACCTGAGAAACCTATTATAATAAAAAGTCAGCTAAGAGTCAGTTCTGACTCTGTGGCAATAAGATTTCTTTATTATGATGAATGGAAGGGGGAAAGTCGCCAAAACTTAGAAGAGGTCCTAGAAGTTTTTCTCATTGGTTTCCTTTTTTATAATTAAAGGACCTAGATACTTCAAATCAAATTGTCATTTTCTTTTTGGAATAACTGGGGACATTTGCCATAGAAGTCCTTGTGATAACTCACCCAGGTGGGGAACAGGAACAGGAGCCAAGAGCAGTACAGTACTCTGATGGAATGTCAGTCTCAGGGGCTCAACTATACATGCTTTTATGTGACTCTCACAAGTCTAATCACAAGTGAGACTAAAAAAAGAAGGCTGCTGTTACTGTTATGTGTCATCGAGTTGGGATCAGCATGTCGTTGATCCTCTAGCCAGTTGTGAGGGCCTCTAAATTGCATAGAAGGAGATTTCCCATCTTTCTCCCATGAGGCAGCTGAAAGTCACCTTACTGACTTTTGGTTGAAGCACCAGAGAACTGGCATATATTCTGCCAAAAAAACCCCCCCAAACAGTTATGTCTTGGAGAGAGTAAAGCTGGAGTGCTTCTTGGAGGCAAAGATGTAAACTTTGCCTCACATACTTTGGGCATGTTGTTAAGGGGCAATAACATTGCCTTTGGAGAGGGACATCATGCTTGGAAATATGGAGGATCAATGAAAGAGAAGAAGACCCCCAAAAAGATGGATTGACAAAATGACTGCTACAGTGGGCTTGACTTTCAGAAGTGATGAGGTTGGCACAAGATAGGGCAGGGTTCATATCTGTAGTTCATAGGATCATTATGACTCATTCATACTCAACTCAATGGTACTTGTCGAGAGAGAGAGAGAGAGAGAAAGAGAGAGAGAGGCAGAGAGAGAGACAGAGAGAGAGACAGAGAGAGGAGAGACAGAGACAGAGAAGAGACTAAAAAGATAAGAGGTTACTGGAAGAAAGGAGAGCTGAAAAACTATTTGTCCTGATCTCTCCACTATCTAGGAGAGAAAGTGATTTCAGAATGTTAATGATCTGCCAAAGAAGGAGTGTTAAGAGATGGAGAGGAGGAAATTTCATTATCATGACATTCATTATACTTGCTGGAAACCATTTGCATGTCTGTTCCCTCAGAGTTCTGGGAGGCCAGGCTCTGTGTGAGTGTTGGTCATCCCTACATCCCGAGTATTTAGCACCAAGCTTAGCAGAAATGAGTACGTGAACAAGTGAGTGTTCAGTATTGACTGATTGTGTGGAGAGCCATTTTTTGAAAAGAAGTTTAAAAACCCAAGAAGCAAACAAAACCCAAAAAGACAAAGCACTATGCTACACTTAGAACTATGGCTGATGTTAGTCGAATAAAAGCTGGCACCCCAACTACTCCATAAATTGTCATTTTGAGGGGATAAGCGAGCACTAGAGTACCTGAGAGAATTCTCACTTCTGCTTCGTTGCCTGTCCGGGAGCTGGCTGGGTTCCGTGCCAGGCAGCGATAGATCCCAATGTCCCCCAGCTGGAGTTTGCTGATCTGCAATGCTCCAGAGGGCAAAACCACCACCCGGGAGTCCCCGGGGCTTGGAGTCAGGTCTTGCTGGTTCTTCTGCCAGTGTATGGTTGGCATGGGCTCCCCGATGACTTCACACTTGAGTAGCACAGTGTCCCCCATGAAGGCTGTGACAGATTCTGTCTGGGAAAGGAACCTCAGTGGCCCTAGGAGGAAAACAAAGAAGGAAATGGAAATCTTTCAGAATCATCTCCAATGAATATAATCACACGTTGTGTTTCCTTCAACAGTTTGTATTTTGTAAATATTTTGTAAAATTTTACCCCCCACTTTGCATTATCTTCTACATTATATCTCCATCCCTACAGCATATTTTCATGGGTAAAAAGAAAAAATTATAGAGGTTTTGTCATTCACCTCCAGAAGTATACCATATTATTATCCCCTGTTGTTAATATAACAACCCTATAAAAGAGGAAGGGAACTCAGTTTAGTCTGTAGGTAGTTGTGTTACTAACTCAAAGTCATGCTCTTGAAAAGTTCAAATTTATCAGTAAGTCCTTAAGGTTAGGATAGGCCGTCTCCTTTCATGTGATTTATAGCTTCCAAACCCCGATAAAGCAACAAGTTGATGCTATTCATATGTGAGAAGTCAGATGTAGCAGTGGGAAGCTCTGACAAATTCGTTATAAAATGCACAGAAATAAAATAAAAACATAGCCATAATCAAGTATAGTAAGGTCAGGAGAAGATAATCGATCGTCTGGTGATATACATGAGATAAGTAGAAGATACTTTTATTCCATCCTCTGGCACTATCTTTTTTTAAATAGATATTTCTGACATGTATTTTATAACATGAAAACATTACTTTTTATTTTTATCATAAATATAGCAATTACATGAAACATGGCTAATTTCATTTCTGGTCTTAATTCAGTCAAGTGATTTTGATGGCTTGATTCCTATACAAAGCCCCCTTACCTATATTACTCACAATATTAGTAAAGGAGTTTTGATGGTCTAGTGGTAAGATTGCACTGCAATCCCAAAGGCCTGGGGTTCAAATCTACCAGCCACACCTTGGGAAGGGGAAGGGCAAGCTCCTGCCCTGTGATTTACTATCTCTAAAAACCCACTGAAATGTCAGCTTGGACTTGGTTTCAACTCAATGGCATACAGCAAATAACGCCATACAGGTTAGATAAATATTTTTTTACAAGTTGGTAATAATCTGGACATTTTTTTATATATTTAGTTACATGGTTATTAGAAGTATGTTTTTATGGTTATTAGAAGTTTTAAGAAGGAATCCTGGCGGCACGGTGGTTAAGCTCTGGATTACTGGTCAAAAGGCTGGTGGTTCAAACTCCTCAGCTTCTCTGTGAGAGAACAAGGCCTGGAAGTCTGCATCTATGAAGATTTCAGTGTAGGAACCCTTTCCCACAGTTCTAGTCTTTCAAGCAGGGTCCCTATGAGTCAGAATTTAATCAAGGGTGTACAACAACAACATTAATTATACATTTGGATAAAATTTCAAGTTACCTATTTTATACCTGAATGTATGTGGTATTAAAAAAATCATTTGCAAGAAAATTGCAGAGCATTGAATAAAACATGAAGCAAAAGAGAAATTCCGTTAATAAGCAATCTTCGGTTCTCTTAAATAAGTCCTAGTAGTTCGCCTACCCACAGGAGGCATCAGCTTATATGTTTAATTAATGACATCTAATGGCAAGGGCTACTATTATCTTTACATGCTGTTTGTGCACCTTAAGAAATCTTTCATTTGTTGCAAAATTCCTGACGTGGAAAGGGTAAGGAAACTATCTTATTTATAAATTAACAGCACCATGTTTGTAGATTTGGCATAATGGAAAATTATGATTTGTAAGGTTTTTAATCTCTACAAAGGAAAAAAAATCTACATTTCAGAAAGCAATTCTAAGTTTATCAGGCTCTCTGTAGTTTGAATTAATGCTCCCAGTATTGTGCTGAGTTCCACCACTTGCATCTCAACGCAATATAACAAAGCTGCTACACTCTTAAAAGGTAAAGAAGTTATAGGCTATCAACTTCGCTCTATATTTTCAAGACTTGTGTATGAGAACCTTATAATGAACATTAAGCTCACTCTAACTCGTAAGAATGAAATACAGTATTTTCAGAAGAGTTGTTTAATGCTCTAACGCAATACAAACGATTCCTGTGCTTCACTCACAGGGAGATACAGGTATAATTTTAACTAGGCCCTCCTGAAGAACAGTTGCTTGCTAACCAAGAGATTGTGGGAGGGAAATAGCTACCTCAGACTCATTGTATCACAGATCACAGTCTGCCGCCTTTGCTCTCATCTTTTCTTGCCCAAATCCTAAATATAATCAAAAGATCAATGTTCCTAATTTACCAAAGGATTATACTTTTCTCAGGAAATACGTAGATCCACAATCAAAACCCATGATAACAGCAGTCAAGGGAAAAAAAAACCCAAAAAAACACCCAGGTTTCACTGGGAAAAATCTCCTGCCAACCACTTCTTCAAAACACGAAAGAGCAACAATGCCAGTTTAAAGACTAAGGTGCACCTGGTTCAAGCCATGCTCTTTTTAATTACTTCCTATGTGTCTGAAACTTGGACAATTAATGAATAAGACAGATGAAGAAATCTGAGTTGTAGTTTTGGAGAAAAGTACATAATACCTCATGGACTGCCAAAAGAACAAGTCTATCTTGGAGAAAGTGCAACCAGGGTGCTCCCTAAAGGCAAGAATGGTGAAATGCCATCTGACATGCTGTGCACATGCTATCAGGAGGGATCAGTGCTCAGGAAAAGGCATAATGCTAGAAAAAGTGAAGGCCAGTGAACGATAACAAGGTGAATTGACACAGTGACTGTAACAATGGGCTCAGTCATGTGGATGGTGCAGGTTAGGTCAAGATTCAGAGAAGATGTTCAGAGGAAACCTGTGTGTTTTAGTCGGCTTGGTATCACTTAACAATCACAGGAAACAATAAGCACCAAACAGTTTTCTGATTATCTTAACTCAAATGCTGAGCAAAGAGCTTTTTTAAAAATAATCCCTGAGGAAACTCCCAGTGCTTCTTTCAGACTAATTTTTATACCTCTAGCAAACAAAAATTCTCTGATCTATTAAAGCTCTGGCCAAAACATGACTGATTTGATTTTATTTCTCTAAAGAGGATCCGCAGGTCTCCTGATACCTATCTGTTCAAAACCATAATTAGTTTTGAGAACCAAGTCAAAATTCTTTTTTTCCTTGGTCTTGCTTTATGGAAATAATTCTCCACGTTTTGATTTTGATGGCACTCATGACTTCTTGTACATGTCGCAAACGACTCGACGGCACATAACAACAAAAACAACATGACTTCTTGATAATATGACATAGCCAACTGTAGAAATAAAAGTGTGAAAAGTGTTTGTATGGATGCCTGTGTGTGTTTGTTTATTTTACATTTTGTATCACACACACACACACATGTGTAAGATTTATACATATATATCTACCCAAAGAATACACAAATATTTGCTGTAGTTCTACGTGACTCTGAATATTTAAGTAGATGTTTAACTCTTAAAACATGATTTTCAAATGATCTCTGGTTGTTTGTATAATGATTATGGACACACTGAGGTACCTGGCTACCTGTGGTCACCTCCCAGCTGTACCACTTAATCCACTGGATGACTTTCTCCAACATTTTACCTTTATTGTAAGCACTCTTGTTTATTAACTCATGTCACAATAGTCACCGCGAGCATTTCTAGTAGCCTAACTTCATAAGAGTAAGTGGTATGGGAGTAAAAAGCATTCAAATGTCTTTTTGTAAGACCGCTTTAAAAAAAGTATTAGTATCGAGTTATTTTACTTATTCAAACTTGCATATAATTTCCTCAAACAAAGTGTAAATATTTCACAAGAATCTCTGTATGTCCATTGTTACTGTTATGTGCCATTGAATTGGAATTTACTCACAACTGATCATCCAACAATTTTTAGAGGTAAATTTCACAGGAGGAGATTGCCCATCTTTCTCCTGCAGAATAGTAGCTGGTGACTTCAAAAGACCTGCCTCTGGGCTGGCAGTGTTGGTCCACCAGAGCTCTCTACGTACCAGTACGACTCTCCTATTGCGCAAACCCCAAGTAGCAGCCCAGTGTTGAGTAAACTACATTCAGAAAAAGTGTCCCTCTTACTTAGTCCACTGGATAAACACCCTCCATAAAAGTACTAGAAAATAGAATTTGGTGATAATTTTAATATGATAGAGGTTTAGACTAGACTTAGTGTATAAAAATATTAAAATAGCACTGCACCCTGATTCTGTTTGGGAGAAAGGATTGTAGAAAGAGTTGCCACCTTCAAACCTATCATGGCCCCAAAATGCTATGGCACTTTAATCTCAGAATCGCTGGATTTACTTAAGTGTCTGGCCCGGTGCCTTAGAGTTTTGCACATCATCTGTGTCTCTGCATATTAGCAATTTAGGGACAATTTAGTAGTTGAAAGTCTTCGTTCATTTGGTATCAATGAGTTGCAGCCTACTTGACAGAACATAACAACACTAACTTCAGAACCAATTAGTGAGGAATCTTTTCAGCAACTTTGAAAGATGACTTTGCTGTCTGTTTGTGTATGTCTGATGAATATGCTGTGTGTCTATGTGTGTGTGAGAGAAAGAGAGAGGGAGAGAGAGAGAGAGAAAGAGAAAGAGAGAGAGAGAGAGTGAGCACGCACCAGAAAGGAGACGTGAGTCAAGATTTACTAAGGAAATAACTTTCCTATTTCACCATTCATATGCATTTTGTTTCATGACATGAGACATTTCCTTTAACATAAAGGAAGGTTAGACCTATTAGGGCAACTCAGTTTTATTTGCTATCCTCAAAATGACAAACACAGATATTTCAAAGTCAAATTTTGTGTGTCTATTACATAGTAAAAGTGCCTAGACTTCACTATTGGAAATTTTATTGATGTTCACAATCCTAACGATAGCTGTATAGCAAGCAATAAGGGCTGTTAGCAAGAGATAGACGGCCATTATGCAATTACCCAGAGAAATGAGTCTCACCCCGTTTATTTTTATTTCTGTAAAGAATTCTTCATTTATCTTCTAATACTAATTTCATTATTTAAAAAACTTATTGTCTATTTATGTTATTTTGTTAAATGTTGCTCAA